AGCTCCCCCACATACTTTTAGGGCGTTTAAATTGTGACCCCCCCTTCTTTCTTCCTCACCTGATTACCCAATCCTTAAATGTCTTTTTTCCCGATGTTGGGTGTACAACAGGTTTTGGGTTTAGTTTAGCTGTCTTGCTTTTATCATTTTTCCCTATTGCTTTGGGGCCCCCCTACCTGCGCATATGCATTTTTGGGCCTATGATTTCTTTCCTTAAATTCCCCCGGGGCCTTTTTCCTTCTATAAATACTTCCATTCCCCTAGAACCCCTTGATTTTTTTCCCTCTTTTCCCACACCTTTGGGTAAACAGGGCTCCCCCCCTGAAACCCTTTTCATATTTCTTTATATCCTTGTGTGGTGGTACCATCAAATTTAGGTTTCAGTGGCAATTTCCCCGCACCCGGGCCCCCCCCCTTCACTGGTCGCTTTCTAGGGCCTTTTCTTTGGGAAATGTGAGCTTTATCCCTACCTCTGCTTAAAGCAAAGTATGGATTTCCCGCCTTCCCCTACATTTGTTCCCCCAAAATGTTCCCCCTTCCTACTACTCTGTGGCTAAAGAAAAAGTTCCTAACTCCCTGTGATTCATCTGTGTCCCTTCCCCTTCCAACTGTGTCCCCCTTTTTTTCTGTGCCCCCAACCTCTTGAATACCTTCTTTGTCCACCTTGTTTAATTTTCCAAATCAGTATTTTGATTCCCTTATCATTTTCCCCCCTATCTCCCCTTTCCCTTTCCCCCCGTGTCGTCAAAGGGCGATTTTCCCTTTAACCCTCCTCGTAGGGCAATCCCCTTTGCTTTTGGGGCATCTTGGGGTTTTAAGCCCTTTTCACTTTTTCTAGTTTCTTTTCCTGCTTGGGTAGGGGTTGGGGGGCCAAAAATGGTGCCCCCATAGTTCAATTTTGGCCTAACGTACGCAGTGTCCCCGGGGTTTTGAACGATTCCTTATTAAGATTTTCGGAATGCTGTTTTTGAGGTTTGCTAGGCACCCCTATGCTGCAGCAGTTTTTTTTTTCTGGGGGAAAATTTTTGGTTTTCCTCCCGGGGATGTGCCTTGGGGGTTTTTACTCACCCCAAAAAAAATCCCCCCCCTTTTTTTTTTTCCCTTTTGTGAGGTTTGTTTGCTCTGGGCCCCCCAACTGTAAATCCCCTGCGGGCTTCTTTTTTCCCCCCTCCCTAAACTTCATGACCCGCACTTGGTGAGGTTGAATTCCAGGAGCCAATTTTTGGGCCAGGGCCTTTCAACCTCTTTCCCGATTTCCCCTTTTTGGTGGGTGTGTTTGTGTGTGTGTGTTGGTGTGTGTGTTGGGGTGGTGGGTGTGGGGTGGTTACGTGGGGTACTCACCTATTGTTAAATTTTTCCATCCCAGTTGTGGTTTCAAGGGTTTGAGCCCCAACTCCTGGCCCCGCCTCTTCACTGGCCGCACTGGGTCACTCTTCCTGCCCATGGAAACAAATCAAAGGGGAAATTTTTCACCTGCCTAAACCCTTGGCACGACCCACTTCCACAAATTTAGCAAATGTTTTACCCAAAAACCCACGAAATGGGTGCACCTCTCCTGCCCCACCGTGTCCAAACTACTTCTCCAAAAGATTGCTGTATTCATTCAAAACTGATGGACTGACCACATCGACCAAGGCTGAGGGGCTGATTACCCTTAAATCCTCCTGTCCTTTCCTTTTTTATGGACTGATGAAAACCCCTGTATGGTGAAACGTTTCTCATTAAAAAAATATCCCCAAATTTGCCCCATTTCCCAATTTATCAATTTTTCGGTTTTCTGACCCTTTCATTTTTACATTCCTAGCACTTAGGAGTGAGTTTTTTTTATCTTTGGGCTGTCATTATCTATACCAAAAACAATAGGGCTACCACCGGCAGGAAAGGGGCTTTTTAATTTTTGCTAAGATAAATTTGAAATAAAAAGGGAAGGGGCTTGATTGGGTCATAAAAAGATGTGGTCTAAGAAATTTTTTCTGGTCCCCAGACCGGGCAGCGGCGGGGGTTTACCCCTGAAAACCCCCCTCCATATACTCCAGGTCTGAAACCCCTCCAGGTATACCCAGGTCTGAAACCCTCTCCAGGTATACTCCATTTTTGAAAACCCCCTCCCAAAGGGAAACTCCCCGGTCTGAAACCCTCTCCAGGTATACTCCCCGGTCTAAACCCTCTCCAGGTATACTCCAGGCCTGAAACCCCCTCCAGGTATACTCCAGGGCTGAAACCCCTCCCAGGGATACTCCGGCCTGAAAAACCCCCTCCAGGTATACTCCCCGGCTGAAAACCTTTTTTCCAGGTATAACCCAGGGCCCAAAACCCTCTCCAGGGATACCCAGGGCTGAAAACCCCTCCAGGGATACTCCAGGTCCCAAACCCTCTCCCGGTATATCCAGTTTTTGAAACCCCCTTTCCCGGTTAAAAAACTCCAGGGCCCGAAACCCCCCTCCAGGATACCCCCAGGGCCCGAAACCCTGTCCAGGTAAAACTCCAGGTCCCAAAAGAACCCCCCCAGGTAACTCCAGGTTTTGAAAACCCCCCTCCAGGTATAACCCAGGCTGAAACCCCCCTCCAGGTATAAACCCCCGGTCTGAAAACCCCCTCCGGGTAACTCCAGGTCTGAAACCCCTCCAGGGATACCCAGGTATGAAAACCCCCTCCAGGGATACTCCAGGTCTGAAAAACCCCCCCAGGTATAACCCCAAACTGAAACCCTCTCCAGGGATACTCCCCGGGCCCCAAACCCCTCCAGGGAACCCCCAGGTATGAAAACCCCCTCCAGGTATAAATCCAGGGCTAAACCCTCTCCAAAGGGATACTCCAGGCCCGAACCCCATCCATATACTCCAGGTCTGAAAACCCCCTCCAGGGATACTCCAGGTCTAAAACCCTCTTTCCCGGTATACTCCAGGTCTGAAACCCTCTCCAGGGAAAACTCCAGGTCTGAAACTCCTTTTTCCAGGTATAAATCCCGGTCTAAATCCTTCCAGGTATTCTCCCGGTCTGAAACCCCTCCCGGTATACTCCCCGGTCTGAAAACCCCCTCCAGGTATAAAACCCCGGGCCCGAAAAATTCTCCAGGAAAAATCCAGGGGGGAAAACCCCCTCCCGGTATACCCCGGTCCCAAACCCTTTCCCTTTTAAATCCAGGTCTGAAAAACCCTTTTCCAGGGGATACTCCAGGTCTGAAAACCCCCCCCAGGTATACTCCAGGTCTGAAAAAACCCCCCCAGGATACTCCAGGTCTGAAACCCTCTCCAGGTAAAACTCCAGGTCCAAAACCCTCTCCAGGTAAACTCCAGGGCTGAAACTCTCTTTCCCGGTAAAACTCCAGGGCTGAAACCCCTCCAGGTATAATCCAGGTCTGAAACCCTCTCCAGTTATAAATCCAGGGCTGAACCCCTCCAGGATACTCCAGGGATGAAACCCTCTCCAGGTATAACTCCCCGGTCTGAAACCCTCTCCAGGTATACCCCCAGTCTTAAAAACCCTTCTAACCTTGCGTTTTCCTTTTATAAAAAGTTTTTAAATTTTTAAAAGGGTTTTCCTTTAAAAATTTAAACTGACTAAAAAAATTGTGTTTTTTATAGTGGGCAAAGGGGGAGGGGAGTCCCTTTTCTCTTACTACTGTAATGGGGCCCACTCAACTGTCCCCCGAAATACACACTATTTTTGGGTTTGGGGTATAATATTTATCAAAACCGTAAAGGGGCATACACGGCCCGATTTGGGGAGCAAATATTACTAGATGGGCCCAAAGGAAACGCAAAAGCATGCGAAAAATCACAAACACTGACTCTGGCTGAAGGAGGAAATCCCAAAACCCACGAAACCCTTTGAACAAGGTACGCAGTGCATACCAAACTACCCACTGGACCAAATTTCCTTGGAAATCCAAACTGCGCCCAGACTTTGATCCAAAAAAGCGGCTGGGCCTTGGGTCCCCGTACACTGGGATACCAGTGCTCGAAAAGTGGCCTGAAGTTTTAAAACATTTTGTGGCATAAGGGGTTTCAATGTAGTTTTAAAAAACAGTCCCGGGGGATTACGGGCCCAAATTAGATTTGATATCCACAATCATCCCTAATATACCCAGTTTTTTAAAAAGAACACTTACAGGGCCCAAACCCAAATAAAAAAATTTTCGATAAGAAATAATAGTTTTTAAACAAACTAAATTTTTATATCTCCCAAAACACCGATAAACAAAAAATAAAACTACACAGCAACCTAATCCCCGTTCCCGAAATTTTAAAATTTTTTTAAGTTATCATCGTTTTAAAAAATTTTTAAGGGAAAGAGCTTAGGCAATAAGAAAATTTTTGAATAAAAAAAACCCCATTTTAAATTTTTGCCAGTTTTTATTTTTATACAAAAAAAAAATAGGAAAACCAAAACAGGTCCCCTTTTAAACCCCCAAGGTCTTTAAAGATTTTTAAATAATAACTTTGAAAATTTTAAAGTTGGATAAACCCGTGAAGTCAAGATCAAAGATTAATTTTTTCCAGAAACCAATTTTAAACTTACCAAAACCCAACATCAAGACATCAACACTGATCGTTTAAAAAATCTGACCGAAGATACATTTTTTTAGTTATTGTAAGAATCCCAAAAAAATTTTTGCCGGCACAACTCAAAATAACGAAACTTTTCATCCATTTCGTACATTGTATCTGCCCTTTAAGAATGATGATATTCACCATTGCTTTTTTAATCACATTAAAGCGCTAAACTAGTAGGCTTTGTTGCATCCCTTGAAAGGAACACCATGTATATAATGTATATTTGATGAATATTATCTTTCATATAATTTATATTCCTGATATTTCCATTAATAGCTAAAATAAAACCATCTTGCTTTATTCTATTATTTGACTTTGCTATGTCATTAGGAAGGATGTAACATTTACACTTCACTGTGCTCACTGTTCGAGAGTTGTGGTTGGTTGTCCACATTGGTAAACCGCTAACTATCAGTTCGCTTGTTTACCTGCCGGCGTCTCTGCAGTACCACGGGCGAGTGACGTGATATCACCTGATGTGAGGATTGTAGTTGAGAAATCACTCTCTCTCCATAGCTGGTCATTGCTCGACAAGCACCACTCTCTTTCCATCTGCTCCTGGTTTGGTGGACATGGCTCTCTCCATGTGCTTTTGGTCTGGGGAACATGGCTCTCTCCATCTGCTCCTAGTCCTGGAATCATCCCTCTCATCTCTGTTTGTTTGTTATTTACACTCTATTTTGGTGAGTATGATTTCGTTGGTGAGTCGAAACATACATCACGTAGCTCTGTGTAATTCTGTTCACAGAGCATTGTTCAGACTTAGTGAACTTTGTCGTTTTCCTGAGGTTGTGTGTCGTATCGACACTTTAAGTCAACCCAGGTCCCAAGCTAAAGCTTCTGACCTATTTTGTGTGGCATCTAAGCACTGCCGTAGTCGGGGACTTGGTTATGCTGAACTTAGATTCAGTATTTTAAGGGAGTTTTATGACTTTCATGGAGGATCTGCTGATGATTCCCAGTAATGGTCGTTATTTTGTCTCCTTGTTCCTGACTCTGTGCTGCTGCTATATACATTATTATTGTTCGGTGAATTGTTCATCATATATGTGAAATATTAAAATTACCTGGATGAACCTCATAAGATATATACCAGTAATTGGTAACAACGATAATTATTCCTTATCAAGGGTTACAGAGACATGTAGGAATTTTAGGACATCCTACGTCACAAAAAATGTCCCCCTTCGTTACCTACTACTCTCATATCTCCACAAGTCAAACTCTGGACCTATATTAATTTCAAATGAAATACACTTCACCAGGAATTATGGTAAAATTATTAATATAAATATATGGACTGTATGTTGAATTGAATTAATGATTACATATACACATTTATATATCAGAAGGAGAATTTATATTAATACCACTCACCAGTTTGTCTGGAGATTACTTGGTGTGTCGCACATAAACCCCTACCTAAAATATGAAGAGAATACTGGCCAGAATTTCATCATAAATATAGACATTATTTATCTGAGGGAAGATGTAACTATTATCCCTTTTCACATATAATTTCGGAGTCCTGTCCAATCGCCTGCTTCTCACATTCTGCAGGACTGCAATTCCAACAATTTCTGCTCCTATTTGAGAGGTTTCAACTACAATTTAACCTCCAAAGCAACGAAATTTTTCCACATTTCACTAGCGTCTGTCTTGCCCCATTCCAAAAAACAATGGCATCTCCCCCCCCCCCCCAAGCGACGCTAACACACGCTGGTTCATTTTTTATTTACAAATTAATTTTTATTAACTACAATATATTTCACTAATTTACATACAAAATACACAGTATTTTCAGAAAATATACAATATTTTCCACAATATTGTTCAAGCAAGCTGTTTTGGTTGCCTTGTTGGTCAAGTAATATAATAATAATAATAATAATAGTAATATTATTAATAATAATAATATGTTTATTTCAACAAGTACAAGGTAAACTGACCATAGCTGACTTCAATGACATACTGCTATATAAAAAAGCCGCTTGTTTATGCTGAGCATTTTGGTCAAATTAGGTCAGTTTTATCCCAGGATGCGACCCACACCAGTCCACTAACACCCAGGTACTCATTTTATACTGATGGGTGAACATGGACAACAACTGTCTTATGGAAACACGTCCTAATGTTCTCCAGCCGTAATGAGGATTCGATCTCCGGACCTCAGTGTGTGAGCTGAGTGCACTAGCGATCAGGATACTTGTTATGGTTTAAGTCTAAGTCGAGTCTAGTCTTACTGAGACAAAACGAACAACTTTGAGCACATACACACTCGCACACGCTTATATATGCTAGTATTATTTCCATAGTTTATAAGAACGTACCAGACGGTACTTGCGAGTCATACTGATAATATATGTGCCCTCAGCACTATAATATATGTGCCCTCAGCACTATAATATATGTGCCCTCAGCACTATAATATATGTGCCCTCAGCACTATAATATATGTGCCCTCAGCACTATAATATATGTGCCCTCAGCACTATAATATATGTGCCCTCAGCACTATAATAATGTGCCCTCAGCACTATAATATATGTGCCCTCAGCACTATAATATATGTGCCCTCAGCACTATAATATATGTGCCCTCAGCACTATAATATATGTGCTCTCAGCACTATAATATGTGCCCTCAGCACTATAATATATGTGCCCTCAGCACTATAATATATGTGCCCTCAGGACTATAATATATGTGCTCTCAGCACTATAATATATGTGCCCTCAGCACTATAATATATGTGCCCTCAGCACTATAATATGTGCTCTCAGCACTATAATATATGTGCTATCAGCACTATAATATATGTGCTCTCAGCACTATAATATATGTGCCCTCAGCACTATAATATGTGCCCTCAGCACTATAATATGTGCCCTCAGCACTATAATATATGTGCCCTCAGCACTATAATATATGTGCTCTCAGCACTATAATATGTGCCCTCAGCACTATAATATATGTGCCCTCAGCACTATAATATATGTACCCTCAGCACTATAATATATGTGCTCTCAGCACTATAATATGTGCCCTCAGCACTATAATATATGTGCCCTCAGCACTATAATATATGTGCCCTCAGCACTATAATATATGTGCTCTCAGCACTATAATATGTGCCCTCAGCACTATAATATATGTGCTCTCAGCACTATAATATATGTGCTCTCAGCACTATAGTATGTGCCCTCAGCACTATAATATATGTGCCCTCAGCACTATAATATATGTGCTCTCAGCACTATAATATGTGCCCTCAGCAGTGTAATATATGTGCCCTCAGCACTATAATATATGTGCCCTCAGCACTATAATATGTGCGCTCTCAGCACTATAATATATGTGCTCTCAGCACTATAATATATGTGCTCTCAGCACTACAATATATATGCCCTCAGCACTATAATATATGTGCCCTCAGCACTATAATATGTGCCCTCAGCACTATAATATGTATGCCCTCAGCACTATAATATATGTGCTCTCAGCACTATAATATGTATGCCCTCAGCACTATAATATATGTGCCCTCAGCACTATAATATATGTGCCCTCAGCAATATAATATGTATGCCCTCAGCACTATAATATATGTGCCCTCAGCACTATAATATATGTGCTCTGAGCACTATAATATGTATGCCCTCAGCACTATAATATGTATGCCCTCAGCACTATAATATATGTGCCCTCAGCACTATAATATATGTGCCCTCAGCACTATAATATATGTGCTCTCAGCACTATAACATATATGCCCTCAGCACATTAATATATGTGCCCTCAGCACTATAATATATGTGCTCTCAGCACTATAATATGTATGCCCTCAGCACTATAATGTGCCCTCAGCACTATAATATATGTGCTCTCAGCACTATAATATATGTGCCCTCAGCACTATAATATGTGCCCTCAGCACTATAATATATGTGCTCTCAGCACTATAATATATGTGCCCTCAGCACTATAATATATGTGCTCTCAGTACTATAATATATGTGCCCTCAGCACTATAATATATGTGCTCTCAGCACTATAATATATGTGCCCTCAGCACTATAATATATGTGCCCTCAGCACTATAATATATGTGCTCTCAGCACTATAATATATGTGCTCTCAGCACTATAATATATGTGCTCTCAGCACTATAATATATGTGCTCTCAGCACTATAATATATGTGTTCTCAGCACTATAATATATGTGCCCTCAGCACTATAATATATGTGCCCTCAGCACTATAATACATGTGCCCTCAGCACTATAATACATGTGCCCTCAGCACTATAATATATGTGCCCTCAGCACTATAATATATGTGCCCTCAGCACTATAATATATGTGCCCTCAGCACTATAATATATGTGCTCTCAGCACTATAATATATGTGCCCTCAGCACTATAATATATGTGCCCTCAGCACTATAATATATGTGCTCTCAGCACTATAATATATGTGCCCTCAGCACTATAATATATGTGCCCTCAGCACTATAATATATGTGCCCTCAGCACTATAATATGTGCCCTCAGCACTATAATATATGTGCCCTCAGCACTATAATATATGTGCCCTTAATACTATACTACTATATAAACTATTTAACTTTACACTACAAGAGAAGTGTCACTTATATCCTGAATTATTTAAAACTACTTTGATTTTGTCCACCTAGACAACTTTGTTAATAAACATCTAAAATTTTTATTTCGTTAGTATCCTATCAGTTGCAATTCTAAAGTACTATTATAATTAATCATATTTTTAAAGGCTAACTGGACCAGAATACTTTCTAACAAGCTGATACAATACTATAAACATGCTAGATACTAGAGGGCGATCTCTAACTTGATCTTAGTATTTTCTGCAGATGTTTAAACTATATAGATATCGTAGTTTGTAACAGGGGTAAAATTGGAGGCAATCAAATTGGTTGATAGCAAGGAAAAATAAGTTCAGTTTCCTGGATCAAGAGCCCCCTCACCAGCATCAAGGCAAAAATAAGACAATAATATAAAATAATACAGGCAAGAAGGGTGACGCCTTCTTGCCTGTGCTCCAGAATCTTCACCACCACGGTGATCCTCACACCAACTCCACGGTTGAGGGACGGATTACCTCATCTTTTGTATATAGTTCTATTGTCTTTAAATCATGTCCTAGAATTTGTATTGATAAAGCCACTGGATGGCGAAACGTCTACAATAAAGATACCCAGATGTTTCACATGTATCTTTATTTTTATCTTGTTGGTATTGTATACCATTCTTATACATAAAATATAATCTAGCATAAAAAATAATAAATATTGAGTTACACTTCTTCTGAATAGTTAACCTGGGTTTTTGCATTTAAACTGGTGCTTTCACTTGACTATTTATATTAAGTCTCGTAAAATGTACTTTATCTTTCAAATCTATGATCAAAATATTTCCAACAAATATGGCAAAGTAATAATGTTAAATTTCAAATCAAAATTTTAATCATTTTTTATTAGCTAATAATATTTTCCAATATATATTTTTTTACAGAAGTTGACCACTAACTGACACTAAGCAACACGAGATGGCAGACCGCAAGCAACAGGAACTGGCAGCTACCACCACATGATGGAGCAGTGGGAATATACAATGGCATCTTCCACTCAATGGAGCAGCTGGAACACGGGCTTCTAGTCACCACAGAATGGAGCAGCAACAGCAGTAACTGGCGTCTACCATACGATGGAGCAGCAACAGCAGTAACTGGCGTCTACCATACGATGGAGCAGCAACAACAGTAACTGGCGTCTACCATACGATGGAGCAACAACAGTAGTAACTGGCGTCTACCATACGAAGGAGCAGCAACAGTAGTAACTGACATCTACCATACGATGGAGCAGCAACAGCAGTAACTGGCGTCTATCATACGAAGGAGCAGCATCAGTAGTAACTGACATCTACCATACGATGGAGCAGCAACAGCAGTAACTGGCGTCTACCATACGATGGAGCAGCAACAGTAGTAACTGACATCTATCATACGATGGAGCAGCAACAGTAGTAACTGACATCTATCATACGATGGAGCAGCAACAGTAGTAACTGGCGTCTACCATACGATGGAGCAGCAACAGTAGTAACTGACATCTACCATACGATGGAGCAGCAACAGCAGTAACTGGCGTCTACCATACGATGGAGCAGCAACAGTAGTAACTGACATCTATCATACGATGGAGCAGCAACAGTAGTAACTGACATCTATCATACGATGGAGCAGCAACAGTAGTAACTGACATCTATCATACGATGGAGCAGCAACAGTAGTAACTGGCGTCTACGATACGATGGAGCAGCAACAGTAGTAACTGATATATACCATACGATGGAGCAGCAACAGTAATAACTGGCGTCTACCATACGATGGAGCAGCAACAGTAGTAACTAGCATCTACCATCGATGGAGCAGAAACAGTAATAACTGGCGTCTACCATACGATGGAGGAGCAGAAACATGATATATTAGCTACCAGACGGTGCAGCAGCAGACACATAATATATCAGCTACCAGACGGTGGAGCAGCAGACACATGACATATCAGCTACCAGACGGTGGAGCAGCAGACACATGACATATCAGCTACCAGACGGTGGGGCAGCAGACACATGACATATCAGCTACCAGACGGTGGAGCAGCAGACACATGACATATCAGCTACCAGACGGTGGGGCAGCAGAAGAAACGAACATCGTTCAGAGAGGTGTCGTCGACAGCGAGTCCCATATAAGGTTCAACTTTAGTCTGGATGCCACAGACTGCGGTATCATTGGGACAGGAAGCCCAGTCTCCCCACACACCCCACGACTCTCCTCCTCCACTCATTACAACCTGAAACAGGGAAAGACGACATATAATTTAATGTTACGACTTCCGATACCAAGTGCCTTAAATATAGACCTAGAATGTTGCCTTTCTTAATATGAGCGGTGTGATAACTACAAAAAAAAAAATTTTGAATTCCATGTCCCGTCGCTGACCAAAAATATCGGGAAACGTGCGTTTGGCTTCATTTTTCAATTAGCTTTGAGTTTTATGATGCTTAAGTTAGCAAAACACATGTATAGTCCACCTGTCTTACGTATCTACGATATTAAATAAACAATAGGGAAGCTTTGATTTGTATCATTTCTTAAATATATTGAATCAGTCAGAAATTAATTAAATAATGAACACTCGAAATTTGCCATACATTAAAACCTGTTAACTTGAAAGTTAATAAAATATTTCCTAAGTTTCCGGTCGAAGAAAAAAAAAAACTTTCTTACAAGTAAGTTGCTCAACATGAATCTTAATATTCAAACACAAGTAAACAAATTTATTGAAATAGTGATTGTGAGTTGCACACAAATTCACAATAAGAGAAAATATACCTTTAAGATCAGGTATATATTTTTTGGTAACCTTAAGGACAGAGACGTTCGTTAAGTTCACTTCCGTTACCCAGTTAATGGTGGTGGAAGTTCATTATTTTTATTATTATAATCAAGGGGGAAGCGCTAAACACGGAGGATTATACAGTGCCTGGGAGGGGATGTGGAAGGCATTCAGGCTTAATTCGGGGAACTAGAGCACAGATCCAATTCCCTAAATCAAGAGCCCCTCATCAACATCAAGGAACCTTCCTCGAGGGGGGTGGAAGTTCAGCGTCACATGTATTCCAGCGTTGATTCCGTCAGGTGCTCGATAGGTAACCAGGAAGTTCTTTTCTTTTACTTTCGTCTCTTACCTTCTTCTTGCACTTCTTGCTCAGGTTGTATCATATGCATCTGATGCTGTGTCAGCTTATTTTATTGTTTTGACAATCTGCCTATTTATAGGTATTTTCTTGCTCTGTGTATCATGAATGACTTTTTTTTTTATGGTCGTAGAGTTAAAGTTAAATTTTTTGTTCTTGTTTTTCATTGACTTAAGAAATGCAGACTTTATTTGTCTAGATCAAAATCTTTAGAAATTTGTCTCACTTCAGTTCTAAGTACAGTCTTTAAGTATGGTCTGCCTCGGAAATGAGTTACTGAGGTGAGAACTGTACTAACTGGATGAAGTTTTGATGAGATCTGGGCAGCCAGTATCTTCAGTGTGACCGCCTACGAGGCAGCCAGTATCTTCAGTGTGACCGCCTACCAGGCAGCCAGTATCTTCAGTGTGACCGCCTACCAGCGCTCTCAAGATTATCTTAAGATTCCTGAAGATACTGAAACTGATTTCTTTGCCACTTGCCTACAGTGATCTCTACTTATTTTCAAGGGAACCTTGAAGACACTGTAGTTCAGCTCATCTCACTGGATGTCTGCCTAGCCATCTCAGGAATATCCCTGAGGAATATTCCAGAGATGGATTAAAGACCTGTGAGGATCATTAGGACTCTGCTCTCATGTTCCTGTAGATGCGTCTACTTAGCTTCCATCTTCTGGTGTTTCTGTGCATGTAGTGTCCCTGTTACTCTTTATGTTATCTTCTTTTTGTTAAGTAAAATGACACAAACGCAACTAATGTGACATTATATTGTGGCAACATTTCGCTCACCAGGAGCTTTATCAAGCCGTTATGGATCAACAAAACTCGTGAAGAGCGAAACGTTGCCACAATAAAATGCCACATTAGTTGCATTTGTGTCATTTTACTTAACATATGGTCTGTAATTCTACCAATATTAACACTATCTTCTTTTTATTTGGTTCGCTGGTGTTAAGTTTTTTAATATATTTACAACAATAAAAGTATTTAAGTTTCATTGCTGATATTTTTCCAAAGTTTACTTATATAAATATTCTTTTATTTCCCGTCAATATTTTTACACAAGGAGGATTTTTTCATCTTTTACCTGACACTCATTAATTCAGTAAATAAACTAACGTGGAAAAAATCTGTGATATTCATTTGTTCATTAAATATCTGACTATTAATTTTTCTTCGGTTTAAAAGAGCAATGAACAACTTTAGACAGATGTTTATCACATTGAACAAATTTAGACAGATGTTTATCACATTGAACAACTTTAGACAGATGTTTATCATATTGAACAACTTTAGACAGATGTTTATCACATTGAACAACTTTAGACAGATGTTTATGACATTGAACATTGAAAATTGTTATGTTGGAAAATTATTATAACTGGAAAAAAATAGTCGTCATCCTTACATGTATTTTGTACATTATACATGTATTGCAGAGACACTCTCATAGTTCACGATCTTGAAACACTTTCTGAAACGTTTATTAAACCTTCTAGTCCAATATTCAATTATTATTTAATGTCTATTCCTCTCTGTACAATTAAGTAGTTTTTCAGATCAGCAGGTTTAAGTTTACAAAATCCTCTAGCATTTCTAAATAATAATTATGTAAAGTGAGATAAGTTTGGGATTATTCTATATCTTGATGCTACTTTTTGTTAGATAATCAGCCTTAATCCTGTAGATTCCTTAGACTTTAGAAAAAGACAGGGAAATAATTTAAAAAAAAAAAGGGGCCTGAGAAAACTAAATTTTGGGTTTATAAAAAAACCCAATTCGGTTATAATTTTTTTTAGGTAATTATTTATTTTTGACCAAAATCGTTCTTCGATCTCTGTTTTTTTTACTTAATTTCAAAAAAAAATTTTACTTCCTGAATGTCTTTTAAAGTAAGAAAACTATATTTTTTCCTTTATTTTTTTTTAAAACTAATTTTCCAAACTATTTTAAAAATTAAGAAATATTTCAAAACTTTTACCTTTTGTTTTTTCAATTCCCAGTTTGTTTTTTGGATCTATTTCCCTTTTCCTAAGAGTTTCCCCCTTGCTGACGATAATTTTTTTCCCTTCCCTAACCCCCAATGGGGGCGTGTTAAAAATTTGGGGTTAGGTTTTTTTTTTAAATTTTTGGGGTCCTTTTTTAAAAAATTTTCTTACCAATTTTAAAAAACGTCTTTTCCATTAGCTAATCCTTTATTTCTTAAATGAAAATTTTTACCCCTTTTTGTTTGGAAGGTTTTTCCCCAGAACTTTTTATTTGTTTAATCAGTTTACCCCCTAAGATTTCCCTCACCCCCTTCTTAAGACCAAAAAAAGCCCCAACAATTTTCCCCAAAAAAAAACAAACCCAACGGGGGGTAGGGGGACCCGGAGGGGCAAGGGGAATTGAGCAAAGGCGGTGTAAAGGGGTTTTTTCATTCATAAGTTGTAGGAGGAAGCCTGGATTGCGTGGGGAAAGCGGGAACCTTCCGTTTAGAACGAGGTTGTTTAATCATGGAACCGAAGATTTCCATACCCCCTAAACCCAACAAACCCCCAAACACACAAAAAACAAAAAAACACCCCAAACACTCACAACCCCCCCCCAAACCCCCACCCAAAAAAAAACCAAAAAACCCCCCACAAAAAGAAAGGGAAAACACCCCTTTGGGGCATGGGGGGGGGTTCCGGCCCCCTTTGCTCCCGTAAAAAATGTGTTTTTTTAAAAAGTTAAACCCAATTTGGGGTTCCTGAAGGGGGTTTTTTTGGGGTTTTAGGGGTGGGGGGTTTAGGTTTTTAGGTTGAACCAATTCCTTGAAAAGCGGGAATTATAAAAAAAATTTTTGCCTGGGGGGGAAAACAAAAAAAAATTTTGTAGGGGGGGTCTTAGAAGGGGGGGGGTAAAATTTGGGGGGCCCAGTCAAAAAAGGCCCCCGGCCCCCCCCCCCCCCCAAAAAAACACCCCACCCCCCAAAAAAAAAAAAAAAAAAAAAAGGAAACAACGGGAAAGGGATACATAATACACTTGGGGGGGGAAAGAAAGGGGTTTTAGTGAGTATAAACCACACAGCTGCAGGACCCAAAGAAGAATATAAAGGGAAAAGCAAAAACCACCTTGATGGAAAAAACTCCCCAGCAGAAAAGTTGCGGTTAGGGGGATTTAACCCCAAGGGAAGTTACTAAACCGGGGGGGGGGCCAAAATGGGAAAAAAGAAGTTAGGGTGTGGCCCAATTCCAAGGGTTGGGCACAGATAGAGGGGGGGGAAACCAGCAAAAATTACCTTGTTTCCCCCTTTTGGGCATACAAATTTTTCACACTTTTAAATCCCCAACACACCACTTTTTCCCCAAAAAACAAAAATTACAATAAAAAAAATAAAAAAAAAAAAAAAAGGGGGCTAAAGGGGAAAAGGAACTTCCTGGGGGCTGGGGAAAGAAAGGGGGCCATTAAAAAAAAATGATGGTATTAACAACAAAATGAAAGGAGGCAGGGAAAGGTTTTTAAAGGGCAACAAAAAAATGGGGACCAAACCCCCCTTTTTAGTTTTAAAGGAGGCAAAAAAAAAGTGCGGGAAATGGAAAAAGGAAGGGGAAAACTGAAATGGGGGTCCCGAAACATACCCAAGGTGGAGGGGGCCACACAAGAAAAAACAAAAACCGAATCAAAGATGACCCGAAACTTGATACAAAGAGGAAAACACAAAGAAGGTTATAGCTAGGACAGAAGGTGGGCTAAAAAATATAAGGGGTATGGAGAGTAACAGGAGTTTTAAGGGGAAGACAATAGAGACAAGGGTTGGGAAAAACGCAAGCGGGGAACAAGAGGGAAACCAAAAGTGTTGGATGGC